TATAATATAAAAATATAATATAACTTTTATATTTATTAAAAACATTTATTTTGTATAAAAGAGTTTTTCAAATAATCGAAGTAACATAAAATAACTCGAAACGAAACGAAGCACATATCTGATCCGTTCGAGTCACAGATGTCACAGATTAAGTTAGGTAACATGCTTACTTAACCTAAATCCGTCCATGTCATTGAACATTGGAGCACATGAATGCAACTGTTCCAATCGCCACCTTACCTGTGATCCAAATGCTCTCTGAGTTAATTTGAAGCATGCGATACGAACAAACCTAGGCAAAAGGGTTAATTATATTTTGTGAGAAGGAGATCCAGCTAATCTAATCTAATCTGCAATTTCAACTTGCTGAAGGCAGCCACATTCCAGGGAATCGATTCTATATCTTGAAACGAGATGAAAATTACAAAAGTGAGCGAATTTATTAGAATACTATAATAATTTCATTGCAACATTTAATAAATTTGCTCACTTTTGTAATTTCCACCTTATTTGAAGATGCAGAATCGATCCCCTGATTGGAAATCGATACATGCGCACTAAAAATTGGGGACCACATAAAAAGTTCAGTGTCCATACTGTATGTACTTATATTATGCCCTAGTTCGATTTCCTAAGATCACTTCCACGAAGCTTCGATTAACTTAACAGACTTAACTTTGTGGAATTCCAACTGAAGCTGATGTCGGAGAAAAAAATGCAAAGAGAGAAGTTATTATAAATATAGATTTGTAATACTAATTTACGTAGCAAGGTTTGATAGCTCTCTGGTAGCTGTTTGTTAATAATTTATTTTTGTATACAATATAGTATGTAAAATTACAATTAATTATAATTAGTGAAATATGTTTAATTCTTCAGTTCACATTTTTTTTCCGACATCAGCTTCAGTTGGAATCCTGTAAAGTTATTAGGCCTGTTAAATTAATCGGAGCTTGGTGATTTTTAAGGCCATTCTACATTAATCGTATCGTAGCATCGAAAACATCGTAAGCATCATACGATTTTAAAAGTATCGAGTTGGCTGAAGCAACAAGCTTGTGACTTGTGACATCTATGATACAACCAATGTAGAATGACCTTTATACCTGGTTTATGCTTCGGTCTTAACCCTAAAATCCTAAAATTCAGCCAATGGAATACAGATTTTAGTTAGGACTAATTAAGACAATTCTATTGACTGGCAATTCTATTGACTGAATTTTAGGATTTTAAGATTAAAATCGAAATATAAACCAAACATTAATCTCTATCTTCCGTGGCAAAAATTATTCATGTGCTTAATGGTGCAGCCAATAGAAGGAATAAGGAATTAAGATATCAACTTATCAGAAATCGTGTATTCCGATGTATCCGATTTCTGATAGGTTGAAATCTTTATTCTATATTCTTAATTCCTTATTCCTTTTATTGTGGCTGTACCTTAATAGCTCTTGCACACTGAATGCGGAAACGCTTATCGCACGGCAAAATGAGACGGTAACCAATGAACACATTAAGAGCCATAAGTTTATTGGCTACCACATCATATTTTGCCGCGCGACAAGCGTTCTCGCAGTGTGCAGAAGCCATAAGAATAGGGCCCTTGGATGAATAGAAAGTTACTAGTAAGTACCCGTATCAAATGCACGATGTAAACTAGGTTAAAGAATTTGACATCCCTATTTTACTGAATGCTGCTGGGTTAGAGAGTTTTGCAAAGAGCAGTGTGTGAAAGTATATTCGTCCGGTTTGTTTTATTGAAGAACTACAGGAATCTTCCCGCTAAACGCCATAATCATGAAGATGAAAGGATTAAGTTTTGCAAGCGTGATGAAGCATCCATCTGTGAGCATACCAGACTCACAGTTTATTCTGCGTTGCAGAATGTTGCGATACTCCACTCAATATCTTTTTCCTTTTTTAGCTGCTTCCATTGTATTTGTGCATAACCCTAGGAGTCTCTGGTGCGACGTACTACACATTTCGTCTAGCAGCACGTAACCCTGATGTTTCCTGGCTAAACAAAAAGGAGTCTGAACCATGGAATAGCTATAAAACTAAGCAATATAAGGTGCTGAGTGTAACAATTACTATTTCACCCCTCCAAACTTATTTTGGATGATCCATATCAGAATTCAGGATATTAGTCTATTTTGTCCTGTCTCTGGAGTCTAAAATAAAAAATGTTTGAAAAATCACATATACACATGTATATATAAATATATTAAAATGTATGTATACATATATATGTGCACAGTAGGAAATTGTATATAGAATTCCATCCTGAAAGGCGATCGTGTAGTAAGCTTAGAATAATTCTAAATGTATTGATTGCTCAGAAGGCAGCTTCTATATGTGCTCATGTGCTTCTATTTGTTTTGTTACAGTTCTTTACAACAAAAGATGAAATCAGCAATGCAAAGAGCCCAGTGCCAGAATATTGAACTATAATATGTAAACTAGTATTTGTTATAGGAATAAATTGTTATATAAATTACTACCTTTAAAAATTTTCATCTCTGAACAATATTATTGTTCTTGTGATCAAACAACAGGAACATAATTAGTCTCAAATTAGTTCCAGAAGGAATATCTTCAACATCATCGAACATACATTATAATTTAATTTTTTGTTTTGTTAGTTTGAGAGAAAGTGATATTTAATAAAGTCTGTGTCTGTGTCGCCTATAAGCGATGCTGATATAGGAAATGCATTCTTTTCTTTTCCTCTATTAGTATAATATTTTAAACCAACAACCTCCTTTATCATTTTATGAAAGTTTTAGTCTTATTTTAAAGATATATGAACAAATTCAATGGGAATAATGATAGCAGTAACTTTCTCGTTTATCGAGTATTTCTTCCAGAAAATTTAATATTGAAAGATAGTGATTATTTATTTTTGAGTATTATTTATTTTGAGTATTAAAAACACTGTTGTTCAGTGGTTAATAAATAACTAATTATTTTCTTTCAGTATATTAAATTTCTACAAAGGATGTAAATACAATATATTTCGAACAATATTTCGTGTTTTTACTTATATATGTACCGAAAAGAAATATTCAGACAGATTCATCGTGTCTGGAAGACTCGAGCTCTTCTTTTCGCAGGAAAGAATTCTCGGAGAAGTGTGATATCTTCAGTTAAGTCATGTGAATAATTATTATATAAGAACATACAACGATTTATTTCGAATTTCTTATGCAACTGTTACTTGCAAAATACTGATCGAAGTTAAACTGATCCTTTTTAGGGAAAATATACGTCGAGGTTAGTAATCGCTTTTCATTTTTTTTCTGCGCTAGTTCGACGTTCTTATTTACGGATCACAATTCGTATTTGTTCGTATTTGTTACAATTTGTTAGCGTGAAATTATCGCAAAGACGGTACTGTACGAATATCGCTAATACGTAATAAAATAAATATATTTCATAACATTGATAAGTTTTTATTATATAAGTCCTGAAAAAATATATATCTCATTTGCTATAATGACATAATTAAAAAATAACATAACTAAAAAAATTGTCATTTTGGAGTTGCTTATAGAAAAGGAAATGAAAACATCAAAAAAAAAGACTTACTTTCATTCCTCTCTACTCTAATCAGTCGAAATTAAATTTCAAAATATTACAAAATTTTAATGATTTAAACTTATTTTTCTGGAAAACTGTTTTTTTTTTATAATTGTATCGTCGCAAATGAGTGACATGTATTGAGCATCTCTCCATAATTTCACCGTCTTTATCCTTGTGCAGCAAGTCCTCTTTCTAATCGCAGCTATTTCACGATGGTCTCAACATGGGAGGATTTCTATGCGAAGCATCCACCCCCTCAAGATTTGGCACAAAATGAACAGGCGTTGAAGGAATTCACCAGGAAGCATCTCGAGGCTGGTAATAAAGTTGTATTGGTGACGGTGAGTCTCAGGATTTGACAGCTGATTTGACTATGATTTTGTTTATGAAGTTCTAACTGAAATCGTGATGTTTCTTTGCAGAGTGGTGGTACGACGGTACCCTTGGAACATAATACAGTGAGATTTGTAGACAATTTCAGTGCTGGTACAAGAGGCTCAGTTTCAGCGGAATACTTTTTGGAATATGGATATGCAGTTATTTTTATGTATAGGTAATAATACTTGTATACTTCATAGCAAAGTCAGGAGTAGACTTTTAGATGATTGAAGAGAAAGAAAGACTCTTAACGAAAAAATATTTCTTTTACAATATATAATAAAAAAATAATAATAGATGACAAATAAAACATGACAACATACAAATAATGTGCGTATGTTACAAACGAGCGAAATATATAGATATAAGATATAATAAAGTCAGAGTGTATATATTTTTTATATTTATATAAATAATATTAATTCCTGTACAAATTTATAGGAAATGTATGTAATGTATTTATAGGAAATGTATTGTTTCAGTTAAAGTAATACTTTTTGCTTTAATTATGAAAGTGTAAATTACATATTTTATCAAAATTTTTATCGTTATATATTTCATTGTTATTTAATCTAATGCATAGCAAATGCTCAACTATGATCATAGTCATCGTTATTAGTAGCGACTAAAATAAAATATATAGAAATTTATATCGCCATTGAAATTTATACTGCTTCAAATTTTTTATATGTAATAAGTACATACAGGATGATGTATAAACTTTTGTTTTTATATTTTCAGAGTTAAATCTTTGGAACCATTCTCGAGACACTTTATAGGTCAGAAGTTTTTAGACTTGCTTCAAGTATCAAACAATAATGAAAATTCTGTTATCACAGGTGAATTACAGAGAATAATTAACCATAATCTTTGGAATTAATCCACATTAATCAAATGTTATTATTATACTTTTTTTTGCAGTACTGCCAGAATATACGCAGAAGGTAGCAACAGTACTGCGAAAATATAGAGAGGCATTTAATAAAAAGAAATTACTGCAACTTACTTTTACAACTTTCTCTGAATATCTCTGGCTGCTGCGATCTGCTTGCCAAGCACTAGCACCTCTGGAGAATAAAGCTATATTATATTTAGCAGCAGCAGTCTCGGATTTTTACATTCCTTCCAATGAGATGGTAGATATGTTATTCATACATAAAACTTTCTCATTCATGAAATATAATGTATTCTGTTACTTTATTACTATATATATAGATTTCTGAGATTATTTTTAGATGAAAATTTTAATATAAATTTTAGAACGTCGAGGCTATAATAGTTTTTGTATTATAAGTATTTAAAGTTAGCGAATCATCGCCTAAAGTTCGCGTGTTTAAATATGATTGGAACTTATCTATTGCATCTGAACGCGTGAACTGTATGTGATATGATTCGCTAATTTTAAGTAACTTGTAATTCAATTATAATGATATTCTGATATTAGGATTTTCTCTCAAATTTCATCTCAGAACTCTACCCATGAGCGTTGTCATGGTATCTATCGGACATACACAATATTGTATACTGTGTATACAATAACATTTTTTTCAGTCAATCCATAAGATTTCCTCGAGTGGGCCACCAACTATATCTCTTCAATTAGTACCAAAGATTTTAGCTCCGTTAGTCAGTTTGTGGGTACCGAAAGCATTTGTAGTTTCATTTAAATTAGAAACCGATGAAAGCTTGCTGATTTCTAAGGCAAGAACTGCTCTTAACAAATATCATCACAACGTAAGTAATTATTATTGTAATGATATCGAGTTTTTTGTAAGATAATTCTAAATTTTGAATGTCTTTTAGCTTGTAATAGCCAACATGTTGCAAACTAGAAAGCAACAAGTGATTATTGTAAGCAAGGAAACCAATTACGTTTTGTCTCTTACAAACGAACAATTAGATAATGGTGAAGAAATTGAACAATTAATTGTAAGAGATCTCATTGAAAAGCATATAAAGTAACTGTGTGGTCCAAAA